GAACTCTGCATTCAAATGGGTGTATCTTTTCTTTTGTCCTTTGTTTTTGGCTTCTCTTCTTTTCACAGCTATTTATAAGGCCTCCTCAGACAGCCATTTTGCTTTTTTACATTTCTTTTTCCTGGGGATGGTCTTGATCCCTATGTCCTGTACAATGTCATGAACCTCCATCCATAGTTCAATAGGCACTCTGTCTATTGGATCTAGTCCCTTAAATCTATTTCTCACTTTCACTGTATAATTATTAGGGATTTGATTTAGGTCATACCTAAGTGGTCATACCCACCACAGAGCTGCCAGAACTTACAGAGGACTGGGAAATAGACTCTTGGAGGGCACAACAGAACCTTGTGCACCAGGGCCTGGGAGAAAGGAACAGTGACCCCACAGGAGACTTGCCTGCGGGTGTCGGGGAGTCTCCGGCAAAGACATGGGTCGGTGGTGGCCTGCTGCAGGGTTGGGGGCACGGACTGTAGTTTGTGTTTAAGATTTAGTGAATCACTGGATCACAGGTCTTCTGGTACCTCAGTGTTCTCATTTGTTCAGTGGGAATGCTTCATCTGTATTGGAGGCTGGCCAGGAGGACTAAACCGGAGAAGGTATGTTAAGTGCGCCACACAGCGCCTGGCGTGTAACCGACCTTGGAGAAGGTGAGGTTCTGCTGCTGCCCAACCCTAGGGGCAGACCCCCCACCTGCAGATGATGCAGACAGCCTCAGCCCATCTCACCTCTCGGGAGCCTCGGTCGTGCCAGGGTTCGCTTTCTTGCTGCCACCCTGGCTGTAGCAGTTCCCGGGGCTTGGGTCCTCCTGGTGGAGGGAAGACTGCCCCCAGCTGGGTGGTCCCGTGTCTGGGGTGTACCATTCTGGGGCCTGAGCTGCTCTGTTCTTTTACAAATCAGCCAGGCGCACACTTCCTTCCTTCCACCGCCTCGTGAGGCCCCCGGGGCCCTGTCCTCCATGCTCCCCCTGCTCACCTCTGTCACGGGCTGGGACCTTCCAAAAGCCTTTCCTTCCTGGGCTTGTTCTTTCTGGCAGTTTCTCCTCATGCTGGTGCTTTGCTGCGTTCTCTTTTTCCCCAAACGGGGCCATCTCCCTAGCCCGTAACGCTCTGCCTGTGAATCCCCAGCCCACGCCCTTCTGCGGGGAAGCCTTCAGGGCCCAGCTAAAGTTCATCTTTATCCCAAAGACTTCTAGACCTTTCCAGGTTCCAGAGAACTCTCTCCTCCAAATTCTAAAAGATTTATCCTTCACATGGCTCAGTAAGCCCTTGGAGGGATGGAGGCTATGTGAATTTTCCTGTGTGTGGTGCTTCTTAGGTCTTCTGGTTTTTAAGCTTCTTGAGAACAGGGAATGTTCTATATGAGACAGAACTTTGTCAGCACCGATTTTTTGGTTGAGATACTGTGAACAGCTCCTGTTGATTTAGTGAGACCAGGGTGTGTGTTTGTGTGTGTATGTGTGTCTCCCTCTCTATAATCCTTGTCTTCTCTATCTTATTTGGTCATCACACGTCCCCATGATGTGGGTATTGCTGTTTATTTTGCACTTGAATTAACTGAAGTTCAGAGAGAAAAAAGAACTGACCAAGACAAAACAGCTAGAAAGGAAGAGGGCCCAGTATCATAAGTCAAGCACATTTCCCAGGTCTATGCACCAAACATGTGGTCTCTAAATTTCCTTACTGAGTATCCCTTTCAGGAAATATGTGTATCTTTGTGTGTTTTTTTGCCATTTATAAGTAATATGTATCTACCATAGTGTACACATTATGTACCTTATGAAGCATCTATTACAGAAATATAAATCAAAGCATAATATGAACCTAATAGATTGTGACCTCTGAATACCATTTCCCACTAAAAGAAACCAGTTCCTTGGAGAAGTTTGGAAAGTGAGCTTGGAATATCTTGTCATATCAGAGAGCAAGGAAGAGATCAATTATTATTGGGGTCACATCAAAAAAATCAAGAGTCAACTTGAATAGATTCCATTGGCCAAAAATGGGTTGCTTGGAGCCACTGCAGTGAATTAAATCACATTATATATACTGAAATTCACATGTTTATAATACTAAAAAAAGATTAAAATGGTGATCATTTTTAGAGAATTCTAGGTGATTAACTTATTATTTTGAAAACTGGTAAAAAAAAAGGGGTGGGGGTGGGGGGAAGAGAAGCATTTATCTTACCTTTCCTGAAAGAACCAGGACTCAGATTAGCAAATAGCTAATGAGAAGATTCTCTCTACAGAAGTATTTCAGCAAATAAATGAAGATAGAATTAGAACACCACACTTTGTAACCACCAGTGAATTAAAGGATTTGGCAATGATTATTGAAAATTGCAGATATCCCCCCCCATAAAAAGAGATGACCAAATATTATGTTCTCCTAATAGATGTCTATCACACCACCTACAAAATGTTCTTGCCAAAATATTTAATTTGAACCTGAGGAAACTTCTTGATTTTTCATTTATGGGAAACACTAGGGATGGGGGCACATGATAAAATGATACTAAGGGAACATAGTCAGCAAAATCCAGCCTGTAGAAGATTAGTTAGGAAAAACAATCCAAGTTCTTTAGCCAAAAAAATTGCAAAAATAGAGATGAAAGGTTGAGAGGGAGATCAATAGATGAAAAAGGATGGACTTCAGGTAAATATTTATCCATCACAATGTATGGAGCTTGTTTGGATCCCAGTTCAAACTATAGAAAATATTTATAGAATAATTGAGGAAATGTTAACACTGGATATGCAATTATATTGAGGAACTCTTGATGTTTTGGAGTACAATGATGGCATTGTGGTTGTTTTTAAAGAGGGAAGACTCGGTCTTTATAGGCTTGTTTTCAGATCCTTGTGTTGGAATATTTATAGCTGTAATGACAAGTGTCCAGCGGAACATGGAGTGCTGATTGTCAATTCCCCGAGCGGAACACCGTGTACCAGTCACCAAGCCCAGGGGAGGGTGGCTTTGTAATGATAATATAAAATAGAAAAATCTTAATATTTTCTTCCCTTACTCCCAGTGGATTGCCTGGGGAAGCATCCTCTGGGTGTGATCCCTATTTGGGAGACCACTGGCTTGGGAGTCTGCTGTGCAGCATCGCCTCCCAACCCAGGGCCCACGGGAAGCATGGCTGTCAGAGGGGTCTCTTTCGGGAGGTCTGCAAACCAAGGTCCGCACCCCATCTAAAGGCCTCCAGGGACACAGACCTGACAACCCGCCTTGCCAAATCAGCGGTACTTATAGCCTTGTCATCAGAAATCCTTCACTCTGTGGGACATCAGTCCCTCTCATAAAAGTAGAAGATTGTCAAGATCCCTTCAGAAGGAAAGATTGGCATTGTTTAAAGAAAAAAAAATTCAATGTTTAAGAAAAAAGACAAAGTTCTCCTTCAAGAAATAACAACCCCGCTAGCTTACTCCGGGTGTGAAATAATGCTACTGGCAATGAGATTGGGGTGTTCTATTACTGTCTCAATAAACTTTCTCTCCCCTGGGTAGTATTTTATAGTCACTGCTTCTACGCTCCATCGGCATAGGCATAATTTATTATGTGTTTACACGTTTCACTCACTCTGCTAAGGTGGGAGCCCAGTGATACATTATTACTGTGTGTGCCTCTGTGTGCATACGTGTCTGTGTGTGCACACTTGCACAAGTATTGAGAGGCTACTCAACGACACCTGACAGGTGGGCTTTCCACTTTTCACAGCACCAGTCATCCCCCCTCCCCCAGCCGCCCCAGGACGACAGGCACCCCCACGGGCTCTTGGCTTTGATCAGATGTGTCCTGAGTCCCCATATAGTCCCTTCTTCTCTGAAAAGCAGGACAATCCCAGGAGAATGCTGTCTCCTATATATATATATATATGTGTATATATATATATATATATATATATATATATATATATATATACACACACTCAGCTTCTGTATTTCCTACTTTGATTTGCTTTCCTGTATGAAGATGAAATTCCTCCTCTTTCTGGGTGGAATGTCAGCTGGCACACTTTTCTCTTCAGAATCATGTGAAGGAAACAAAGCAGATGCTATTATTTGCACTTTTTCTCCATTGGACACCCAGCAAGGGCAATGGTATTTGCAGGTCCAACAGCAAGGGAGGAATCCAGGCCCGGCCAGCTCTGATGGGAGAGCCGCGATCACTTGCCTACTCATGTGCTCTCTGACCTGGGGGAAGTCACTAAATGCTCAGGTTCTTCACTGTTAAAAGATGGAGATGATGGTAATTACTGCACAGAGCTGTTTCTGAAGTGATACATTATTTAAGACCCTCAGCAGAATGACTGGCATGTCAGAAAGTGCCATAAATATTACCAATGCTAGTGCTGTTTTCCAAGTATTGTGTTCTGGGACCTTGTATCTATTATCTTAGATAATAATAATAACAGCAATAATAAAATAGGTGACTTACTACATACCGGCATTGTTTGAAGCCCTTTTTGTGAACAGAGTCATTTATTTGTCACAACAGACCTAGGTAGTAGGCATTATTATTGTTTAGTCGCTAATTCATGTCCCACTCTTTTGCGACCCCATGGACTGTATGTAGCCTGCCAGGCTCCTCTGTCCATAGGATTTCCCAGGCAAGAAAACTGGAGAGGGTTGCCATTCCCTTCTCCACGGAATCTTCCCGACCCAGGGATCAAACCCCTGTCACCTGATTAGCAGACGACTCTTTACTACTGATCCACCAGGAAAGCCCATAGGCATTATTATTAATCCTGTATTATGGATAAGGGGCACAGAGATGGTTAGGTTGAAGTAACTTGGTAATTCCCTTCTTTTAAAATAGAATTAGCCCATACCTGGAGTATTTCCTCCTTCCCGCATCTTATCTCGCATCATTCCTGACCGGTGATTGCCTTGGGGTTTCCAAATTCCCCATCAGCCCTTGCTCCGAGGTCACCACCTCTGTAGCATCCACTCCCCAGCTTCCCTCTTTGTGGGTGATATTCCTTTATCGTATGTCTCAAGGGTTCCTTTGGTGAGGAACCTGAGCCTCGGAGTGGGTGGCGAACCACCCAGAACTACAGCGTGAGCTCCGAGGGTCCAGTCTGTCCTTGCCCTCCGCTCCGTGTCCCCGGATGCTGTAAGAGCGCAAAGGGCCGGGCTGCCGGCAGCCCCCGGAGTCCTCAGCAGGCCTGGACCACTGCGCCAGCCGCGGCCAGGCCGGCGTCCGCGCCGAAGGGACAAGGACGCTCGGTAGGGGGCACCCGAGAGCCCGCATGGCCTCCCACTGCCCTCCCTCCGGCCCCGCCGCGGGGAAGGGCTTGGAATTCAATCCTCCGCATTCCGTTCTGGGTTCCTGTGACATAATAAAGCCCAAGGAGGGATCTCGAGTGACTGGTCAGCAGAACCCTCAGAGGGATGTTCTATAGATAGCCAGGGCGTGTCTCGGGCTCGGTCCTCGCTGCGGGAGGAAAGTGCTTCCCTGCGGGGCTGGGCAGCGCGCTGTGCGGCAGGTGGGCGACGTCGGGGACCGGCGAGGCCCGGGCTCGGGGGCACTTTGTCCGGCTGCAGGGGAAGGGACGCCAGGGATCCCGGGCCGGGAGAGGGAATTCCAACTATGGCGTTTTGGAGAAAACTCTTTAGGTATTTGCCCTCGCCGACCTCACCCCGAGATGGGACTGCGGCTGCGATGAGATGCCCCAGATACTGAGCCTCCAGCAGCCTTTGACGCCGGCTCTGCACAGATTCCGCGGTCTAAGCCGGGCTGTCCTTGGCGAGAGAGGCGTGTTTGGAATGTCGGTGCGGCCGCCGCTCTGATTGGAGGTTTGGGGTTTCAGAGTTCCTTAATTTGCATGGCCAGGCGGCATGCTTATTACAGTCCACAATAGAGGGTTGGAATTTGAAACTCTGTTTACCTTCCAGATTCCAAACAAGCAGCATTCCTATCAGTAATGTCACATTAAAAACCGGCATGATGGTATAGAATCCTAACATGACTAATATATTTTATTTTATCCTGTCTAGCGGTGGAAAGGACTTCTCAGGAGGCACGTATCTCTTTTACATAAAATAATAGCTAAGCTACCAAGGGCTTTAATGACATAATTTCATCATGGGATTCTGGATTCTTTGGTTTATGCGACCATCAAGAACCCCGAGACGAAATTAATTAATGCAACTGGGACAAGCCCAAGTGCTGTGTTTCCATTCCCCTCATAAGTGAGTGCAACTTTTTAAATTGCCCAAACATTTAGTGGGTAGGGAGGTGGAGAAAAGCCTGTCTGATATATTCATTAGCTGCAGGATAAATTCCTTAGAAGCATATACTGTTGTTAAAAATATGAGTGGTTGGGTGAGACAGCCTGGGTTTGAATCCTGACTTGGCTTGAAAGCTGTGAAAACTTGAGTTATTGATGTTTTCCAAGCATATTACTCATCTGTGAGATGAGGTTGCTGACACCTGCCTCTCAGGGTGATTAAGAGGATTAAACAAAGTCAGAACTGATGGGCTGGATGAATACAACACCTCTGAAAGGCCCGGGGTCCAGGGCTTGGAGCACAGTAACTGCTGATTCAAGGCTGCTGTATTGTTAATCCCACAGCAAAGCAAAACATTCCTGAGATGGGTCCCTGACACCATGGAGGTCCAGGAATCTTAGCTGCTTCCAGCCAGGAGCTTCTCTTTTTAGCCCCTGAATTCCCTAAATGCCCCACATTTGTGAGTTGTATTATTCGCAGCCCGAGAGAGCAGGATGGCCGCCCCCACCCTGTCTGGAATCCCAGAGCACCTCTGAGATTCTGACCTAGCACAGCTGCCTGTTGCAAATAATTTAGGAAACATGAAACAGAACATATTGCAGTTCCACAGAAAGGTCTGAAGGGTGAACTTTATGTGTCTGTCATGAATCTGCTTTCTCCTGCAGAAGGCTGTGCCTAGGAGAATATCCCCCTCCTGCCCCACCAGGCGAGGAAGAAGAGCGCCTCAAACTCGAAAGATGGTGTCCATGCAAGTCCCATTTTCCCCTAAAGTCTGTTATCGTGCTACTTTGTCCCTGGCGTCTAGAAGGGCTTCTTGGTAGGTGTAAACAGAGTGCCTGCCTGTAAGTGGACCTTAGCTTTGTAATTCAAAATTATGATGTCACACCCTGCCTACAGTATAGCTTCGTGACCTTGGCACAGAACTGCATGTTTCTGCACCTGTTTGCTCTTCTTTTTAAAGATATTTTGATGTGGACCATTCTTAAAGTGTTTATTGAATTGGTTACAATATTACTTCTGTTTTATGTTTTGTTTTTTGGGGGGCTCAAGGCTTGTGAGATCCTAGCTCTCCGACCTAACCAGCGATTGAACCTGCAGCTCCTGCACTGAAAAGTGAAGTCTTAACCACTGGGCCACCAGGGAAGCCCCTGTTTGTTCTTAAAACCTGCAGGATGAAGGGAATGGAAAGCCCTTCGCTGGGTGACTGGGTAGATTCAATGGCTTATTGCATGGCAAGTGCCCAGTACAGCTCCTGGCATATGGTAGACACCCTGTGAACCTTGCTTCTCTTCCAACGGGCCATGAAGCCTGAAGCAGAGAGGCGGTGCCCACTCAGCTCCCTCCTATTCTTTCCCAAGGAAGACAACCATAGGCAGAGAGAGTGCCGTTTCAGAGAGCAATGCGTGGCAGTGCGATGTCACATGCTGGGTGGTGGGGATGTGAAGGGTGACAGCCCACACCTGACCAACCTACAGGGCCCTTGTCTTCATCAGCAGCCCAGTCATTGATACACTTCCTATCCCGAGGCTTTCTCTGAGTACACCACCCTAAATGGCCTGAGAACAGGGATTTTTAAGGATCCAGATATTGCTGTTCACTATCAAAGAGAAAGGATGTTTTATTTCAAAATCTTTTTTTCCTTTTATGCTTGAAATCTGGTCACTCTTTCCTATCTGTGATCTCTAGAACTAGGAGTCCCACTTCATCCAAAATAGAGTTTAGAGTCTTTAAATATACCCACCCATTTTCCTGGTCAAGCAGTGGCAGCAGACAGTCATTAAATCATGTGTGTGTGGGGTGGGGGAGTGACATGTCCACAGGTTGTTGGGAGGGGCCTCTATAGGATGCATGTTCAGATTTGTCTCCATAACTGGACTGACCACTCCTTTTTAATAGCTAAGAATTTGTGTTGGATGTATGCACCCAAGCCTTTCCCACTTATTCTATGTGACTTTTTCCTATGTGCCTCTGCTCTCTCTGAAAATATTTTCTTCTCACCTATGTGAGCGAGCTGGTCACAGTCACTCTTAGGAACTGTGAATGGAGCTGAATTTATTTGCAGGTCAGCTCTGCAGCTGCCAGTTCCTTGCAACAGATATTTGGAAAGAAAGAACCCTAGCTGCAAATAAATAAATAAACGTAGACGCGCTGGTTTTCACCTCTAAAGCAGGTACCATGCCTGTTAAGTCTTGTGTATTTCCCCAGGGCACCTAGAATAGTTCTTTCTAGTGGTGGGCATTCCATAAATGGTATAGTCTGTTTACCTTCCAGATTCCAAACGAGCAGCATTCCGATCAAGAGGAAGAGTCTCAGAGGCAACTGGAGTGGGAAGGGGGCTGCAGAAAATGGATCTCTCTCTTTTTAGTGACCCGTTGTTTGTGATCGACACCATTATACACCCCAGAAGGTCAAGTATAGACTTTACATGAAATTATTCCAAAAACATATCAATATAAAAGATGCTACATAAAGTAGCCACTGGACACTCTACAATTGTAATCACTGAAGAGGCTGAATCTTTGCTTGGTCTGCTTTATACCATGCCGAGCACCATGTTACACAGAAATAAATAAATGTATAATTTTATAAAGAATAGATGCTGCGGCTTTCCTGGTGGCTCAGTGGTCAAGAGTCCACCTGCCAATGCAGGAGTTATGGGTTCGATCCCTGATTTGGGAAGATCTCTCACGCCACGGCGCGGCTGAACTGATGCACCACAACTATGGAGCGTGTGTTCTAGAGCCCGTGAGCCACGACTGCTGAGACCGCGTGGTGCAACGACTGAAGCCCACTTGCCTGGAGCCTGTGCCCTGCATCAGGAGAAGCCCTCGCACTGCAAGTAGTGAGTTGCTACTGCTTACGAGCAGAGAAAGCCTGCACAGCAACAAACGCCCAGCACAGCCAAAACAAGCAAACAAAACCAGGAGTAATAAATGCTGTCAGAAACTGACAAGAAGGCTGAAAACATCAGTGGGCAGAGCTGCCTCCATATTTGCCTTGAACCAACATGTCTCTTCGGTCAAGGTCTTGGTGGGGCTGGGGCTCAGTTATATTTGTAAAATGACCAGATTGTTAATTCCCAAACTTTTTAATCCATCGAAAACAATTCTAGGACACCCTCTCTCAGCTCCACCACCTCATTCATTTGCTTCACAAATATTTACTGAGCACTTAGTATCCGCCAGGCACTCTACTAGGAGCTGGAAATACAATTTGTGAGGAAAAACAAATGCATTCTTTGCCCCTCATGGAGCTTATAGTCTAGTGGGAGAGACAGAAAATAAATGGCCATGCAAATAAAAATGCAATTCAAAATTGTGTTGAGTGCTCTGAAGGAAAAAACAGAGATTATGACTCTAACAAGGAAACCTGATTAGAGGTTGGGGGATCATAGAAAAGGCCTGTGACTGTATTTTTAATGGCCTTTCAGAAATCACATACTAATAAAAAGTTACTGCCAATTGAATAAGGCTTTAAAAGTATTTGTATTTTATTAGGCACTACAGCGGGTGACAGAGGATGAGATGGTTGGATGACATCACTGACTCAATAGACCTGAGTTTGACCAAACTCTGGGAGATCGTGAAGGACAGGGAAGCCTGGTGTGCTGCAGAATCCCATGGACAGAGGAGCCTGACAGGCTACAGTCCATGGGGTCACAAACAGGCAGACATGACTTAGCAACTGAAAAAAACAAGCACAGCAACATATATATATATATATATATATATATATATATATATACACACACACGCACATGTGGAAAAAACACAGTTAGAATCCACAAGTGCTTTGTACATGAATGCACGCATGGACACCCAGTGTCCTGCAAATTCCCAGCCTCCCAGGGCTCTGAGGACACACACAGAACTTACCTCATCTCCAACCGCCTCTAACGTCAATGTGCTTTTGTAAATCTCCAGCTTCTCCTTGATGACAATTTGTGAGTGCTAAGTCTATTCAGTCGTGGCTGACTCTCTGCGACCCCGTGGACTGTAGCCTGTCAGGCTCCTCTGGCCATAGGATTCTCCAGGCAAGAATACTGGAGTGGGTCGCCATTTCCTCTTCCAGGGGATATTCCCAGAGATTGAACCCCTG